GTTAACTGTTATTGTGAGGAACACGCTGGGTGTTTGCTCTGAATGAAACAGGTCCAAATTCTTTCTTAATCTGTCTGATTAGAATTAAAATTTCTTTTTTGATTTTTATAAACTGTAGATTATTTTTGATGTTATTTATTTGAGAAAAAGGGGCAGATATAAGATTTTATCTTCTTCTGCTAGCTTTCATTTGATTTAAGATTTGTGTTTTTTGTTGTGTTGAATTTGTGTTGTTTTTTTAGAAGAAATAAATAAACTAAACTACAAAAACAAAACTAAACTAATTAAGGTTAAAAAAGACTAAACTGTRTGGTTTCTTTCCAAATACTGAGACAAATCTGTTTGTGTATTAAACATTTAAGACTACCGTAGTTTACTGCGTTGTAAGCACAATAATGATTAAGAAACACATATTATAACATAATGTATTACTGTAGTACTGTATTACTGTAATATAAATATCCACAAATATTAAAGGGACCTTTATAGTAAAGTGTAAAACTGTACATTACCTTGGATGGGGTGGGATTATTTGCTGTGTTAAGATGATTTTTTTGATACATTGTTGTTGACAGATGTTTGAACAATAGTTTCAAATATTGACAATCAACACTAGTTTTAAAGTTRTAAASATAAATWTTCACATTAAAGACTAACTTTTGGCATTTATGTTTGTCATTAATTAATAGTGTTTTACACTTTTCAATAAGTCTCCCTTTGACAGTTGTGAATATTTATACTGCAGTAATACAGTACAATATGTTAAGTTATAGTACTTACAGTGTAGTAACCCAGTCTGAAACGTTTAATAAACACATTTAGATGTAATATGTACGTAAACAGATTTATCTCTTTATTTGATAAGAAACTGGACAGTTTTGTCTCTTTCTCATCTTTAATTACATAATAAACATTTATTAATGATTTATAAAGTGTTTACAGATGAGTTAATAACCTATCTATAAACTCTTAATAAGCCATCTCTAAGGGGAGCCTGACTGTAAAGTTTTATTTTATAATAAACTGTTTTAACCCTGCTGGTTTAGCTCCTAGCTAAAGCTAACAAGGAAAAGTCACGGCTGGCTCTCGGGGAGCAGGTGGGGGTCAGGAGGAGCCCCCCCCCCCCCCCCGTGAGTGGGGTCCACATAACTCCAGTAAAACATTAAAAAGCTTTAATATTAAATAAAGTCTTTAACAGGAACATGTCTCAGCTGATGCTCATCAGTCCAACAACACGGATCAGAACCAACCGCTTTAATGGTTCAAATAAATAGTTGTTTACATGGAACATCCTACAAGTAGTTCTGGTAAATAGTGTAAAACCATCACACACACACACACACACACACACACACACACACACACACACACACACACACACACACACACACACACA